TATTACTGGCACTAAAACACGTCCATTGACATGTTTTTAGTGAAAATCAAAGACACTAAATTGAAATTTATGTACAAAAATTGAGAGACAAAAAGTCTCAGAGATAATTGCTATTGAAAAAAGAGTGAATACCATCAATAGAACCAATAACACGCAACATTTAAGTTCAATTTAAAAAAAATAAATGTATAGTTTAATGAGCTGATAATCAGGTATTTACCCTTCCACAACATTTAATTTCTAAGTTTTGATATTTAATTATAATTATAATTTTTACTTTTTATTTTAATATTGATTTAATATTGCATAATATTCATTTATAGTTAATTGCTTTTAATCTATTTTTCATTCCTGCTCTTCAAATCTTGCGCCTTCTTTGATGTACGTTCTTTACAAAAAGTATGCGCCTTCTATCATCATCATAATTGTTTACGTTTGATATGACACCTCAGTACACGTTGTTTAGTGAGAAGAATAGAATTTGTTTCTTATAAGTTGACATAATATAACTATTACTATATTACTTTCGAAAAAATATATTCGACGTTGCTTACTGGTAAGTTTTAAGATTGAGCCGTTGTAACAGTTTTTTCAATATTTTCAATTAGTTTGTATGAGTAAAAATTTATTATTATTATGTTGGTACAGTTTTCTAAAAAAGAGTAGTTAATACACTACCGAAGCGTTGTACACTTTTTACAATAATAAAACTATAACTTATAAACAGTATGCCATTAAAGTATGAGAATATATGTATTCGTTAGATTATTACCGTCATTGGAATCACAGTTTAAAAAGTACTTATTGTTCATGAAAATGAGGATTTTATTAAACTCACCCATAGGAATAACACATTTTTTAACCCATTTTTTAAATATTTTATCTTTTTAATGTGTAGACATTTAACATTTTTAAAAAATATTGAAATACAAGGAAACTAATGAACATAGGGTTTTTAAAACTTTTGTTATACTTAACAGTAAAATAAATTTATAGTTTTCAGATTCTACGTGGTTTTTTGCGTAATGTTACGAGTGAGAATTAATAAAAAATTTATAATGGCACGTTAAAGGTAATGGTATTTTCATGTATTTTTTATTTATAAAAAAGCGCCTTTTACAGACATGATAAAAGATGAAAGAAAAAATAAAATTTTTTATACACTTTGGTATTCTAAATTTAGAAAAGCCTTAATACAATAGCTGCTGAGAACTGTATAGCTTATTTTGAGTGCTTTTCTTATTTTGTGAGACCCAAAGAATAATTATAACTATTGTGAAGGTAAAACTGGAAAAATAGTGCATCCTACACTTAGCAACCAAAAAGGGTATTCCATTCTGAATGTACTTACAAATTAATCAGATCAAGTATTAAAATAATATTTTTGTTATCTTACAGACTTATTCCAAAAACAAAAAACTGCAATACAAAATCGTATTTATGATACGTTCAAAGTCCGAGTCAACTATCTACTGCAAGGTAACGGTGCCAGAAATAATGGGTATATAGCGAGACTATGTTTGAGTGATCCTAAAGCATTTGCAGAGACGTGAGATATTGACCATATACTGTTACATAATTTATCGATAATTATCGCAGCATTTCGTAGCAAACGTCCCATTAACTTAGATTTACTTGAAGAATTATGTATCAAAACCTACAAGAGGTACTATCAGTTCCACCCGTGGCAAGAATGAGTCCATCTGTGCATAAGATTTTAGTTCAGGGGTGTCAAATCGCTAGAGTATTTCCACTTCCTTTGATATACTACTCAGAGGACGGCAATGAATCAAGACACAAACTGTATAGGAGTATCATGACTGACCGTGCAAGACAAAATAGCCGAGTGAATAGACTTTTAGATAATTTCAATTAAGCGGTTTACGAAATTGATCCCACAATGGGTCTAGCGAATACTAGAAACAGAAAAAAAGCGTGTGATGGACGTTGAACGATTTGTGAATAAAAGGTTGGTAGATAAATATCTTTAATACTTCCTTTAGCATTTCATTTTAAAAATTTAGGCTTAAGATTTTCAGCAAGTGCAATTAATATTCTCATGATGATAATAATGAATATTCTAATGGTAATGTTAAAACAAACAATGTAAAGATGACCATGATGCGAGTGAGAACGATGAAAATGATAGTGAAGGAAATTATTCATGAAGCAATTTAAGATGTACAAAACAGCAAATCTTTTATTACAGACACTAGAACTACATGTGCTTAAAAGTGGTGTGCCTTATCAATCATGAAACCAATTAAAGAGTTTTATATTCAAATGACAATTTTTTGTAGAAATGTATTATATTAATAAATATTATTACCTTTGTACACAACAAAAACATTTGTTTTTTCATTAAAAAGTGTAAATAAGCACTAGTAATCAAAATGCTTGGACAGTTAATTCAAAAATTTTATTACCTCATGAGTTATACAATCTTTTCTCTATCAGCTCTGGAGATTCAAGATTCTAAATAAAAAAAGTGTATTATTTTTAATATTTTACTGTATTAGTGGGTGAGAACGCACCTGTACAAGTTGTTGTACAAGTTAAAAGCTGAGAGAAGTCTTATAATTTTTTTTTTCCAGTAAGAGTTGACAGTTATTAATAAAGACCTTCGTTTTTATTGTGTTATAAATATTTTTGTAGGTTACGATAAATATTTCAAGTATTAGTATTTCAAGTTTCATTTCCTTAGAAAATTCACAGCTCTACTTGAAATAGTTTTTTTTCGTATTCTTTTTACTTTTTTAGATTAGGATATGACTTTAGACATAAAGAAAAAAAATTTCTGTCTTTTTGACCTGAAACTTAAGTACTCAAAGGAGTTTCATGAACTTATCTTTGTTAGTTTATAAGATTTTTGATTGGAAATAGTGAAACACGTCTTTTCCTATTATTCAACTGTTTTTATGTTTTATACTGCTTTATACCATAAAAAAAAAGATTTTCACTAGTTTTTGTTGTTAAGTGGAACTTTCTAGGGAGTTATTCTTTTCTATTATGATTAAGTCATGGGATCTACGATTTTCAAGAGAAAAACGTGTCTTTCTCACTATTTAATCATTTTTTAGGTAAGGAAAAATTTTGACACAATAAAAAAACTAGCACGTATTTCTGGTTTTATTACCATACTGTTTAAAAATTATTTTTTTGTTTTTTTTTTTTTTTTNATGACTTCCAATGAAACAATGGGTATTTTTTCCATCATTCCCCATTTTTTTTAAGGTTAGGGGACAATTTGGCACGGTTCGTAATATTTTTTCTGTATAGGCAATTCAATAAGATATAATTTTCAAATAAAAAATATGGCTCTATCTCCAACAGTTCTGGAAATTCTAAGCGTCTAAACTTCTTTTTAACATGATACAACATAAAAAATGTAAGGTTAACATCCGCAATATATATAAAACTTAATCTCTTAAAATAATAAAAAGAGTTTTAGAAGGTACCATTGAATCAACAATGTTATTAAATATTTTGAATGTCTACACACTAGAATGCAACAATATCAATAGTAGGTAAAGGAAATAGCGTTTTGAAAAGATCTTCTTATCTTTTTTCAAAAAAAAGTGAATACAAGAGAATACTTATAACATTAACATTAAAAATAAATATAAAAACCACTTTCTGGGTACAAACTTTTTAAAGTGCTTAGCAAAACTGAGAAAGTGCCATGAACGTGCCTTAACGTTTAAACATAATCCAGGTCGTAACATTACGATCTTACATCCTTTTCGTCAGAGTCAGAGATTCTTGTACCTAACGAGAGCTGGGACGTTATTCGAATGGTTAAAACCTTGTTTTGATTCAAATCAATACAAAATACGACTGTACCACCATTCAATTTTGTTTTCGATTATTTACTAGCTGTCATTAGACGTCTTATATAATAAATTAATTTGTATATCTTCTACATCCTGTGTATCGTATTATCTAACATATTACCATTTTAAAAAAGGGGGTGTTAGGTGAAAAGAGTTATTAAAATAGAGAACGCAATGCCTATTAAATTCTGAACTTTTCAGTGGTCTGAGACATGAGAGAGAACGCTGCAGAAAATTCTTTCATTCCTGTCCTCCTCATATTCGCTGAGTCTCACATACACTGCACGTGTATAGTTTGTTAGAAAAAGACGGAAACAGATAATTTTTTCGCAACGATTTTTCTAACTTATAAGACCAGGCAGCCTAGCTCATCTTATCTTCTATTGTCACGTCGCTACGACTTAATGGCATAAGATGTAGATTCTCTGTGATGGTACAATCGAGTTTGTTTTAGTAAGCTATAAATGAGAAGCATATACTATTTGACATATTTACGTATATATTAGCTTATTAATATTCTTTAAGCAATCATTCAGTTTTTGTAAATCATACGTAACAACTAAATTCTAATTCTTTAACCAAGATTTTATTAAACTCACCCATAGGAATAACACATTTTTTAACCCATTTTTTAAATATTTTATCTTTTTAATGTGTAGACATTTAACATTTTTAAAAAATATTGAAATACAAGGAAACTAATGAACATAGGGTTTTTAAAACTTTTGTTATACTTAACAGTAAAATAAANTTGACTAAATTAATGGAATACTTGTCTACCAATTCATGTGTTTGAGTTCAAACACTATCTAAAGCACTTTTTTATAATTTTCATGATATTCCTAATATTCCTAAATCTTTTTTGATCGTTGAAACACGTGAAAAGAAATTTTGCTTGTATCAATCCTGCAGAAAATTTGGAATGTTGCACAAGCGTTACATCAATATTTTTTGACGTTGCATTATTCACTTTCAATCAATTTTTTTGCAGACACTTGTCACACTTTTTCTACCTTATTTTGACGTTATGTATTACATCATTATATTAATAGTGATAAAAAAAAATTTATTTGGAACAAACTGTCACATTAGTTTTATTTTCTGTTATTTTTTTTTTAATATTCTTACATATTTTTAGCAAAATTAGAAATTATCTTGCATTCATACCTTCATCATCAGTTTTTAGTTTTTTTCTCAATTGATCCATCTTGACATCTCTGTCTCCTTTCTCCTCTTTTTTCTTCTTTAATGTTAACGTACTAAAATTTCCAGATTTAATGTTTTCGGATTGCTCTTCAACAAACTCACGAACCAGGGAATATTCGTCATGATTAGTTATTCCTATTTTCGTACATATAACCACCATAAGGTTAGCCACTAGTTGACTGTCATCTACTAAAACAGTTTTTAACATCCCATCTAACATACGCACTCTCAGTATTCTTAATTTCTTTTTGTATTCTAAAAGATCTCCGTTCCTCAAAATATAGTAATCTAAGCTGCGACCAGATTCTAGCCAAACTCCTTTCTTTGTGTCTTCATCGGCCAGAAATAAACCATAATCCCTAGCTGTATACAGTGAATACAAATACAAATTATTATTTTTTTTAATGGTTATTGCAATGGATAATATTTTTATCATTTTTTACAACGTTGTAATACTATTATATTATGAGTTAATTTTTTGTAACGCAACAAAAATTTTTCAGTCTTCCAGAAAATTTTCAACAGTTAAAAATTATAATAATTTGGGAGTGTACAGCAACTTTATGGAGATCAATTTTCAGGGTGACCAGATATGTGAACAATTTCACAAAAAATGTCTAGTTTCTTACAAACTTTCATAAATGAAAATAAAGTACCAAGAGTAAAAGAATTTTTATATTCAAATAAATAACCTTGACCTTAAGTCATTCTTCGCAATTCATCACTAATATATTAGTATAAATTTTTCCAGTACACTGCATTTTCCTAAAATACAGTGGTTCATAAACCTAAATATATTTGGCTTTACAACATACAACGCATATCAGTATACAGTTTGCAATGTAGGTTATGCGACAAAGTGTACATAGGACAAACTGACAGGTCTTTAGCTAAACGTTTAAGGGAACATAATAAGGCCTCTGCAAGTGATACGAGACAATTAAATTAAGCATGTCACCTGTTAGAATATAAGTATATAGTTTCACGTTCCACCCTTAGTACAAAAATATCGTTCTTATCTCGGGCACACACATACAACAACTAAGCCCTTCGGGCGTGCAAGTTGTACTTTCTCAGCTTGGTAAGAAATGTACTATATTAAAATTATAAATCTAAAATATCGTTATCAGATTCGCAGTATATGTTTTAAGAATTTTGACACAATCAGTATAGTAGTTTTTGCACACTGCAATTATCAAGTACGGATTTTTTAACTTTAGATTTGACCTGACATTGGTTTTGAATTTTTAAAAAACACAGCCCAACACCTTAAGTACAACAACTTATCATAAACATTAAAAAAAAAATTTCAAGATTTTTATTTTATTTTTTTAAAAAGGGTCTTAGTTGTACAATTACAGAAGACAAAATCTTATCCACAAGTTTTTGAAACTTAGCAGCTGTGTGAGTACCCACTTAGAGATAGCGTTGAGTTGTTATGGTTGGTTTTAGGCAAACAGGCTGTTTATAAAATCGTCTTGCTTAATTCAAGTTCAAAGTAGCATAAAAATGTATTTTCGCAGTTTCGAATGCATGAATTTGTTTTTTTTTTTTTTTTTTTTTTTTATAGATTAAGAGAAACAATGTTAGAAGGAACCAACAATGATGATATAAATAGAAAAAAAAAAAAAAATCATACGATGATCATTTACTCCATTATTCCAGGACGTCCACTCCTCGCCAGTTAAGTCGGCGCTCTCTGCCGAAGCATCGGATCCAGGCTAACTAGCTTCCCTGGAGAAGCCCCATGTTTCAGGGACCACTCCTCGCCGGTAAGGCTGGTGATCCCTGCCTAACGCCTACCATCGGATCCGCTAATCTTTATCGATAGCCCTAACAAACACTGTTTCACATTCACCCAGGACTGAAGACCTGTGGGGCAAGGAAAAAACCCTGGAATTACTCTGAAGGAAGATTACACGGAAAAACTCGCCCTAAACAGCCGGGGTCCCATAGGAACTTTTCCCGATGAAAACAGTTTTTGAAAAAATTTCATTTACCAGAAATTGAACCCACGACCCCTAGACCTGCGTTGTATCAGTAATAAATACGCTGACCACTGAGCCAACGCCACTCAAGAAGACAGTTAATTAAAACGTTAGCCCGCAATCGTTAATTATGTATACTGTAGGTAAATGTTTGTGTGGTTCGGTTTTTAGCATTAACATATAAGCTATTAAATAAAACAACCTAAAACAATTATGTGAATAAAGTATACAATTTTAAGTAAACTTAAATATTCTTACATTTCTTTAACAGAGTAAATAATTATAAAAAATCATAAAAAGTTGAAAAATCGTGAAGTCAAAGTAAAGACAGTAGCAGAGCTAAAAAATATACATTGCGTAGCTTGTTTAATTGATTTTAAGATTTTTTTTCAAAATTTGAAGGAGAGGTAAAACAGATCGAAAAAAATTAAAACTAAATATTATATGACTTTTGACTCTTTACTTGGTGTAAATAATTATTATTGTTCAAAAAAAAATTAAAGTCTTAAAACAAATAGAGAAACAATAAAATTTACATAAACGACACTAATAAGCCTGTTTTATGTATGATCTTTACAACATTATTTTGAAATGTAAACATGATAAAAATCGTTAATTTAATAGGGTATATATTAACAATACTTTTACACATGATACGTATATATACAACACCTTAACAAGCATATGTGTAAGAAAATAAGGAAAAAAATGAAATTAAAAAACGGAGATTAAAATTGTTTTGTTCTCCATCACTACCAGAAATGATCAGTATCTCGATCAACTAGTGGTCAAGATCCAAACGTGTTCAATCTCTTTTCTTTAATTTCTTCTTTTTCTCCTATTATCTAACACATATGCACAATAATGTGTGATGTATGTGCATTTAGTGTGTATTATATATGTCTGGTGTCGATGCTGCCACAGCTAGCCTCTCTCCGCTGGCGTTCCTGAAATGGCTATCCTAACCAGTGCTGATTGTTGAACAATTACCATCCACCGCTGTGATTGTTTGCTTGCCCCCCTCACTCAGTATTTTGATGTTGACTGGCAATATATTGCTCAGCTCTAGTGTTCTTAACTTGGTGAGGCTCATGCTATTGCTCACGTTTTCTACTTAATTGAGGCTCAAGCTGCTGCTAGCAGGCGATAAAGTTTGAGTGCACTGTAATGTGCACATCCCACCTGCAGCGCTGGATTACTCACGCTGATTGAATGAACAAAATTTTATCTAATTTGGGCACACAATAGTTATATAAATATGGGTGTGTGTATGTGGGCGCGTGCGTGCGTTCGTGTGTATTAAAAAGTTTTTTTGTGTAAGTCAGCCCATTGCATGATAATGTAGCACGTAGAGTGATAGAAAAAAAATTGTTAAACATGCTAAAACCCACCTGTTGGGGTGGACAGCTTTGAAAAACGAATAAAAGTTGGGGGTGGTGTGAGTCGCTTTTAGAGGTGTCAATAAAGCGGTCGAAATTGACTAACAACGAGAAACGCTGTGCTAGAGACTCAGGGCATGATAAGAGAACTACTAGTTTCTTACTTTGAGTACTTTTTTATTGACTGTTGCATTCAAACTAGGAAACGAGAGAATTAAAGGTAAAGCTTGTCATAACACATTTTTTACCACAAGATTTTACAATTGATCTACGAGCACGTTCAAAAGCACTACTGATGACTTACCGAGCACTTTTAATCTTAGAAATCGTGTCTTGTGAAGAAGCTATAACAACTGTATTGGAAGCATTACGTTGTTTTTTTTACCTACTCTTTCTTCCCTTGTTTATTGATACCCTGTTGCTTTTCCTGCTCTAACTCCGTATCAAATTTACTTTTAAGCTTCATAGCACCTTTTACTTGGGCAGCCGCTTTTTTACCAATATTTAAATCTTAAGCTCTAACTCTTTCTCAAACCTTCGTAGCTAAAACTTTATCTGCTTTAAGTCTGGCTTTAAAATCTTGTTCATATATTTCGTATGCTATATTATACTCTTTGCACACTGCGTCCAATGGATTAACTCCTGAGTTCCCTCTAAGAAGACGCTTAGCAAAATTAGTGTCTGGACTGCGGTATTGATAGTCTGGCAAACGAATCTCTACTAGTAAAGGATTTAAAAATTTATTTACAACGCGTCCTCTTTTACGATGCATGATGACTTGTATCTAAAGGTTGGATCATGACTTATCGTTCAGGAAGATAAATGATATATATTTATCGTACAAAAATTCATTATAGTATAGAGATCAACTCACAACATTACAAGTTTCTAATTTTTGTTGTAAAATAAAAAAAGCATATTAATTGACATGGTAAACTATTTCCCGACAATATTTGCGCTGTATTTTGCAGTTTATCTAGTTGCAGTAATACTTTTACCTTATTAGCGTACCTAAGAAATTAACGTAAAATATGTGTAAGTGTATTCAAAATTGCTACATCAACTTAAGTAAAAGTTTGTAAAAGATTAAAGCCTACAGATAGTGTAATATACTAACTTTTTAGCAAACCTTAAACTGTAGTCTTGCCAGAAGATGCTTTACCAAATTCTATAATGATTTTCAATGATAAATTGAGTGAAAAACTAAATGATGTAAAGGCATTTTTCTGGATGGGTGGACACAAAAATGTGCACTGCTTGTATCTTTGACAGTCGTATGCTCAAATACTAAAGCATCTCATCAGGCATACTGTTAATTTATAAGTTTTGTTTCATCTACATGAAATTGACTTGAAGCATTTGTGTAATGATCATGTAAACTTAGATTTGCCATACATTAAGTTATAAAATGTATGGTTTAGTTGCTGGAATGGCGATAAAATTTGATTTGTTGTTTTAAACAAGGATAGATAAATAAATAATGGTTGCTACAGGAAAAGCTTTGATAATTTTGCTATGCATTTAGAATAAATATAGTGCTACCATAAAATCTGTTGCAAGACATTGAAGTATTATCATCATTATATATTAACAAGAGAAAAAAATTCTATGCAAGCTAGTGAAGGCAAGAGAAGCGGTAAAAAAGTACTGACTCTTAAAGCTTAAAAAAAATTAAAAAGTCCTTAGTCAAGTCATAAATTAGTTACAACTGGAAATTGCCACCAAATCAAAAAAAAAAGTTCTACAGCTTACAATTATTACACAGTAAACACATTAAAGAAAGTAATAACGGTAATAAAGTAAATCAACAAAAAAAAAGGAACAATGCAGTGATAGAGATAATACATTTGAGTCTGCCTTTAGTTAAATTGATGACGATGATAATGGCGATGACAATGATGATACTTACTGAAATTGTATTATTTAAAATCAATCTAATTATTCTGTTCAAGGTAGTAAGGATTTATCAAATAATTTTCATTTCCAAACACTTGATTAAAGCCAGAAAGATTCATTTAATTTTAACTATGGTGTGATAAATCTCTCATGACTCAGGATGATTTAGAAAAGAACTACATAATATTACAAATTTCAAACGTCCGTAAGAATAGGTTTTAAAAAACGGAGCTATACGAATCAAAATAGCAATAAGTTTATGAAAATCATTACTCTAATGTGCAATTCATGTTGAATGACACCTTATTATAAAGCTGCTAAAATAACGCGATAAGTAAAGAGTATAATCTAAGATGATCCTTATAAATTAGTAGATCATTTACGTTTATGGCAAGCAGACCTTGTAGAGATGCAGTCGTACGCTTGTGAAAACAAAGGGTAACATTGTATGTTTACTGTAGTAGATACTTTTTTTAATCATGTATGGGCTGTACAAGTCATAAAATGAATTGGTGAAAAATCAACTGCAACAATGCATTTGACATTAAAAAAGGACGGGTACCCATACACATGCAAATTGACCATGGCAAAGAATTCTATAAGTGGACTTTCTAAATCTCATAGGAAGTATAAAATCAATTCATACTTTACTAACAGTTGTCTGAAAACTTTTATATTCAAGCAAATTAATCGCTCTTTTTGAGATTTTCTGTGAAAAAAATTAAATTGGCAAGACAAATATAAATGGCTAAATTTATTACAATTGTTAATTAAATCTTATTGTAATGAAAAAAAATGAATAATAAGTTTGAATTTAAAAGATATTATTGCCAAAAATACGTCCAACGTAAACATAATTCGTGTTGAACAATGTAATGCGTAAAGAATAATATGAAAACAATAAATTAATATTTTATAGTGGTTAAGTTATTGAACGAATAAAAAGTTGTTCATAATACAAACAAAAAGTTCATTAATAACTGGTAATAAGTTTATTTTTCCATGAAAGAGTTTAAAATTTCATCATCCTCCATCGCATTGGCATAATCCAGAAATTCGATAGTCATTGCTTTATCTATTATATAACTGCTACATATTCTCTGTATTATTTTTAGAACATCGTTTCAAATATAAATATAACTTCGCCTAAATTTTTAACTTTATGTATACATATACAAAAAATCAGTTCATACACGATTACAAGTAATGAATATATTAATTAAACCAATAAAAAATCACAATAACTGCTCGAAATTTCCTCCTCTTACTTTGATCAGGCAATTAATTCTTTTTTGAATTGATTGACAAGCATTTCTTATCTCTTGAGGAGTTATTTTTGCAATTACTCGTGTAACTCTGTCGATCACATTTTGTCTAGTCGTCGGTGGCTCTCTGTAACATCTATCTTTTAAAACTCCCCAAAGCCAAAAATCACACGGTGTCAGATCTGGGGAGTGAGGTGGCCATTGCCTTGGTCCTCTAGTATCAATCCAACGTATCCCAAATAATTAATTCAGACATGCCGTAGCAAAAGCACTATTGTGAGCAGGTGCGCCGTCCTGTTGCCACCACATGTCTCTAATGGCAACAGGATTGTTTTCCAACAATCTAGGCAATACGCGTCTCAAGAACCTTGCATAAATGACTCCATTTGGATTTTCTTCAAAGAAGACAGGACCAACGATTCTATCACCTACAATCCCTGCCCATACATTAATTCTCCATTGCACCTGGTTTTCGACTTCGAAGACTCTGTGAGAGTTTTCTCCTCTTCTGGACCAACTACGGGTATTTTGACTGTTAAGAGTTCCTTTTTAGGTGAAGGTAGACTCATCTGTAATACATATACGACGAGAGAAGTCAGGATCAAGTCTCAAATGTCTCTGTATAAATCTAGCGTATTGCATCTGTCTACCAGTATCATTAGGGTGCAATTTTTGAACTTTTCTTAGTTTATATGGGTGTCGGGTCTCCTTCGCTATACATCTGACAGTCTCTCTATGGCCACCTTTACAATAATAATAATGATAATTATATAAATAAGGCTAAAGGCTCACAATATTCATAAAAGTTTAATAGCATCTGAGAAACCTATTTGTCTTGCAAGAGCTCGTAGGCTTCGTACTTCTTGCTCTTCAAGTGCTTGCTCGACAGGGTCTCTTAAAGGGCCATCTCTTACAGGTCTGCGTCTTGGAGGTTGGGGAGGATGAAGTAACCCGTTCTGCTCATAAGCTCTGTACGTACTTAAAATTAAACATTTAATAAAAAATTGCTAAATAATATTATTTCAATTCAACAATTTATCACATGATAAATAATTTTTAAAAAATATGCAAACTTATAAGTTACGTATGATGCGTAATTTTTCAGCTGCATGTTTCTATATATATCTGATAAAATTGTCTTATTGATTTTAATTTGTCTTTTTAGTGAAAATTAAATAATAGTAATAATTTACAAATTTGTGATAACCCTTATGCTGGAAATGGCGCACTTTTTTAAAACATTATGAAGGGTTAGGTTGAAGAGAAATACCCAATAATTTTTATACTGTTGATTGTTAACAAGGCCCAAAGAAAAACCAGCAACATAACAATTTTCTTAATGTGAGTAATATGTTAAGTTCTTATATTATATTGTGACTGTTTATTTATCAATAACAATAAGAAACGTTTGAAGAGTAAATATATGTATGTTGCAGAAAATGCACTGTTAAATGTTCAACTTAATAATTAACTTGGACATTCTGTTTCATATTGAATACAAAGAATTTCTTTAACTAACTTGCGAAACGTAGCTCTTGTAGGGCAGTAGATTC